GCCCTTCCTCCAGCAGTCGTTATAGTGCCGAAGGAGCGCCGTCAACGCCCTGGGCGGTAGCTGTCGTAGGTGCTTATTGGTCACTCCGTCTTTTCCCGGGCTCATGTTGCCCGTAAGCTTAGCAAGGGCCGCGTGTAGCTCTGCCAGCATGAAGGGCTGGTCTAGTGCTTCGTTTGGTACTCCTCGGTACTCCCTGGGCATCGAATTGTTGATGGAGGTAGCTTGCTGGTTAACCGAGCCACAAAGTTTTGCTTGAAGTTCTTGGAGTAACTGGTGCTCTGTGCCCTCTGAGCCGCTGAATTGTATTTCTTTGATTATTTTTTGGTGTGGGTGTCATCAATCAGGGCTCGAAGAATGCGCCAAGTCTTTTTTGAGCTCAATGTCCCTTGAAGTTTGTCGCAGAAGGACCGCCAGTTCTGGCTTGCAAGGTTTTCGGCGTACTCCTGTGCCTGTCTAGTGAGTACGGCGATGCGGCGCTTGAGCTTGCGGTTGAGCTTTTGCCGTTGCCATCGCTTAATAAGCGATCTTCGAGCTTCCCATAGGTGAAGGAGATGATTATCGACTGCCGGATTGTCCTCGTTCAAGTGTATCGTTTTGGTATGTCCGTCAGCAACACTTACAATACTGTTTAACCAGGCTTCAATGTCTTCGATAGTCGAATCATCATCAAGCTCATTCCTGTAGGCGGTCCAGTCCGTGAGCCGAGCTTTTCCTGTCTTGAGCGAGGGGTGAGCCTGTTCGAGCTCTATTTAAATTATGTGATGGTCCCTCCCTAGAGTGCCTGGTAGCCTTGTCCACGTTGCATTGTGCACGTCTCTAGTGAACGTGAGATCAGGATTAGTATCCCTCGAGACGCTGTTGCCAACTCGGGTTGGATGGAGCAAGTCATTCCACAGCGTCAGACCGTGTTGCTGCACAGCGTCGTGAACACGCGCCCCCTTCTTGGTGGTGCTGTGATAGCCCCAGGCCGCGTGTGGGGCATTGAAGTCCCCAACTATGACGAGTCGGTTGCCGTTAACCATTTGACGGAGCTCGTGGACAAAGTGGTCGTATTGGTGTAACAGCTCCCACGGAGGGCTGTAAAGGTTGGCCAGGTATAAGCTTTGTTGAGTCTTCCGAGTGGGGATTATCTCCACGATGGTGTGTTCGATGCCAATGTCTTCAATTTCATGAGCGTGTGCGGTTAGAGTCTTCTTGACTAGAATTGCGGTGCAGGGTGAGCATGTGAGAGTGCTGTAGCCAGGGAGCTTGATTTTTTCTGTGTGGGTTTCCTGCAACGCGATCATATCTGGATTATTTGTTTTAACATATTCTTGCAAGTTTGCAGAACAAGGTCTGTAGGATGTGCAATTCCAGTGCCAAATTCGAAGAGTGGGGAGTGGCTCAGACTGTCTATGTGTGGGAGCTGCCATTCTGGCAGTTGATTCCCGCCTGGTGCCGGTCGTTTGGTGCTGTAGATCGAATTTCCGCTGCAGTTTCATCCCCTAAAGTTTTTCGCTCTTTCCGCTTGGTCCCTGATTGCTCCACCAGCTGCTCATGGGTAACGAAATTTTGTATGCATATGTTATGAAGTTATGCTGTTGTGCCATGAAGCCATCAAGCTTGGCGTCGAGCGTGCTTACAGTACGGGTCAGTGGGTCTACCTTTTCCATAATTTTAGTAACCACTTTCTCTATGGTTGTGTCTATGGATGCGAGGAGTTTCGCAGTGAAAAAAGCTTCAAGGCGTCGTTCGACGAGGTCGAGCATCTTCGCTTCATGTGCTTGCAGCCTTTCTTCTACCCGCTTCATTATTCTGGCTTCCGTCTGTTTTAGTATGCTGTCGTCAAGTTCTAGTGTGCTACACTCGGCTGGTGGGCGTTGTTGTACCCTTCGTTGTAGATCTTGGACTTTATTTTCTAGAGCCCGGATGGTCGCTGTCTGAACAGGCGAGATGGTCGAGGCACTTGTAGTATTTAGAGAACTGGGCCCGTCACTACCGGTCACCGCGGCGGCGTAACTGATTTCCCTAACGGAGCGAGACCGTGATGGCGTGCGGGATCCAGAGCGACCTTTTTTTTTAGAGCGAGAGCGACTTCGGTCATATTTTTGGGGAAAAAAGGGGGCCCGTGAAATTTCTGGTGTGATAACTGACCCGGGTAAATCATTGGTGCAAGCACTCCAGTGATTCTCACGGGCGCGAGCGTTATCGAGCTGGTGGCGTCTTACTTGATAAGGAGGGGGGTTGCTGCGGAGTTTCTTCTTGCATTCCTTTCCAGCAGTCTCATGGTCTTCTCCGCAGATCTTGCACATCGGTTGGCAGTCATGTGGTTCTGTGTCCTTGTCGTGGCCGCATTTGTAGCAGAAGTTCGCTTTCGGCTGAGGGCAGATGTCTTGTCGGTGACCTAGGGCGCCACAGGTTCGGCAATATTGGATGGACTTCCGGTATGGCTTGCATCGGTAGTCTCCACTGAGGTACGTCACGTAAAAAGGAACATGCTGCCCGTCGAAAGTGATAACTGCAGCTGTGGAAGATCCCAGCATGCGCGCGCCAAGGGTGTGGTATCTTGGGTCTACGCGAAGTCCTGCAACAATCTCTGTGGGGCTTCTTCCTGGTTCGAGGCCGTAGATCACTCCGCGGCACACATCATCGGGGTGTCGAATGTGTGGATTCGCTTGATATATTACTCCACCGAGCTGTATGGCATTTATACTTTGCAGTTTGGAAGCTCGTTCAGTTCTTGCTGTGCTTGCGATGATCACATTCTCTACTTTTTGCACCTGCACTTGCACATGGTCATAGAAGTCCTGCTGGGCCAAGCCACTGGATCTTCCGATGGCATGTGTAACCTCGATGAGTGTTCGTTTTGAAAGATCTAGTCCTGGTTGCGGGCAGAATACAATTTTGAAGTCATCAGTAGGGAATGGCCGCATCCTAGTGCTGCGTTGACGTTGCGGTTGAGATTTGGCTTCACAGGTTGCGTAGCTCGTTCTTCGGCTGACTTTTCTTCTTTGGCTGACCTGCCTTTACGGCCAGCTTGAAGCCACTCAATGTGGGCTTTGCCTGTCGTTTTGCCACTAGTTTCATCAAACGTCCATTGTGATGCCGTTCTTGAGTTACCCTCCGTGTTGTCCACTTGCATCGTACTCGGGTTTTCTTGACATGGGTTAGACGTCTGCGTTTCCATGAGAGCGCTAGCTCTTTACCTCCGACGCTGCGTCTCTGTGTTGCGCGAGCAGCGTGCTCGTGCACCTACGAGACGCTGGCGTCCAGCTCGTTTCGCAGGCCCGTCCTCGTGCCAGAGCGGCGTTCGCGTGCAGCGCGTCCTCTGAATTCCTTGGCAATGTTGCGTCCCAGCGAGCAGGCACAATATGTTTAGAGTTCAATATCTAGTAAAAAAGTACACTCACTGCGATGAGCCTGGTGTCAAACGATGCCTTGCAACGTGAGGAATCCCAGGTCACTAAACGCGAGCAGTGTCCAGGCAAGGTTGCACAGAAAATAGCAATAAGAGCAGGAGCCCATGTGAGGTGCGACTACACACCTCAGCCCCCTGGCGGCCTTTCTGTATAAAAGAACATTTGAAATTTTGGACGCTAAAAATAATTGGCATCCGATTTTCCAGACTTCCTGCCCGAATTTCTGGTCCAGAACAATGGAGCCACCACCTCTGCCACATCTATCATCTCCATGTTCGAACGAGTGTTTTCTCGAGTCAATACATTTGCGACCGTAGCCAAACCTGAAAGACAGCTTTGCCGCAATACGAGTGTGATGAGGTGAAGCATTTGAAAATATGAAGGGGCTCCTTTTAAATGAACATTTTACCTTAGCAGAGCCTGAAAGGCAGCTCTACTGCAATATGAGAGTGTCACGAGGTGAAGCATGTCAAAAAATCTCAAGGGGTCACTTTTAGTCGGACGTTGACTGTATTTATATTTGTGAAGTTTGAATAACAAAAATTCCAGTGCAAATTGAATAGCAAGTACTATAAAAAAAAAATTACTTGAGCTTTCAAATATTCGCACACCCTTACAAAAACCCATTTGGCCTACAGCATACAGGTCAGTCTCCTTTCAAGAAATAAACCACAAAACAAGCATCAAAACCGCACGATCGATGGTAAAGCGCCTTTAACAGGTGGTGTGACATCAGTAGCGACATAAAATATACACTAACATGTTTAGGAAAGCACAGTATGCAACAAAGGGCACGACGTTACTACACTACACACACATATATAAAAGGGCCCATCTAGTAAGGCAGTGCATTTCTCTTGTGACGGCGCTATGCGGAGGCCAACTATAATATAGACCCCTGAAGAGCAACGTGCATACGAGGAGCAGCGTCGAGAACAGAGACAATGTGAACATGATGTCCAGGACACACAGCATAAGCGACACAGGTATGATGCTATCACAGGTTTTATGAGTGCAGATTCCAAGTTTCCACCAAAAGTTCATTAACATTCACTTCAACCCAGAGGCTTTCAATAGTCTCCCTGACGAAAGTGAGATAAATGAGAACGAGGTCGAGAAGCTGACGAACATTGACGACTTGGATGACCCAGAGCAATGCGTCATGTCAGACAGTTCTGTACAATGAAACACGCATGGCCAGTCTGCAAAATTGGATGCACTTCTTCACTATCGCTCCCGGTGAAGGTCAGGCACCCATCTCGCTCTTGTACTATACTAATGTGGAAGACCATTTAAGCGACTTGACAATGGGTAATCGTACTGGGTGTCATTTACAGCTTCACTGTCCAACCACCTTCACAGCGTGGACCGGACCCATAATTTTTTTTATTCCTAGAAGTACAAACAAAGTTACAAGCAGTTATCGCGCACTTGAGGTGGCATTCTCTTTCCTTTCATCCCTACAAGGTAAATGCAAGCTACAAGGGAAGGGGGGACACCAAAGTAGTATAGACAGCTGTTTTTAGTGCAAACCCTGGGAACGTGCTTAGCCTTTGAAAAACTGCAAACAGTGACACCTTGCAACAATATCAGCATGCTTACCTTTTCTGAACTGTCTATCAGTGCATTGAGGTGTTGGTTAGCATCCAAGATTCTAGCCTTTTGGAATCTGAGTCGTTCATCTTGGGCATCCATAGAATACTCCTGTTGAAAGTTGAACAAAAAACATGTTGACAGGCTACCGCTATCGTAGCGAGCCAAAAAATGCAAAAATGCCCTTTACAGCTTTCAGTGTGAAGTCTGAGTGAGCAGGTACTTTATACAGAGAAGCAGTACTGTGTAGAAAGAACTGCATTTAGTGACATGGCACGAACTACTATGGATAGAATCACAAAATTCTAGCAACACTCTTTCAGATGCTTGTGGCAGCAGGCACTGACTAGCAATTTTCCTAGGAAACAACTGCAATCGTCTGCACATAATTTTCTTGCAGCATTAGTTAACACAGAAAATGTTATTTTCAAAGACTTTGGCCTCATATAAAGTAATAAGCTGCAGCGGGGCACGTAACAGCATGAGAGGTATGCTTAGTGGTAATAAGTAGAGGCCGGATTTTCAGGCCCTAATATAGTGTGTTTTAGGCACCAAAGACGGGCAGTTAAAGCACCGTTTTAGGCCCTCAAAATCATATTTATAGACACAATAAATATCTATGTAATTTCAAATATCTCTAAACAACGACGTCGGTGACTTGTATCTACGGCAAGAAGCAAGAAAATGATATTTAAAATAGCAGAAAGGTGCCAACGATTGAGCATAGGCATGCATTCTCCACGTGATTTGCAGTATGTGGTCTTTCGTTTTGTTGTCTAGCATTGTGCGTCAAGTGTCTACCATTAAATTAACACTTTCATGGGTCTCTTTCATTTCGTTGTGGCTGGGAAGGGCAGAGCAGGAGCAAATAACCACACCACTGATACTCCAGAAGAGAGGCATGCTAGGTCTAATTGTGTAGGACCAATTTCTCCCCTATCGGTGAACACCTTAAAAGGCCCCTCACTAGGTTTGAGCATTTTGAGCTGACAAGTGCAATAGTGCACTGGGCACTTTGGATCATTCCTGTTAATATTTGCAAAATTACATGTAACGGAAAAATTCTCAATTTTTTAATGAATGCCACTTGCCCTTTTCACGGGCGTGCGCCCCAAGATCTAGGGAGTGTCGTACATTAAGGAATGGTTCTCTTTTTTACGTCGCTCCTTTACGTTGACATTGGTGGGCTGACGTGGCATACTGCACGCTCTTAATCAGAACTTCATTAAATGCCATCTGTATCTATAAAAACAGACAAAATATGTTCTGTCTACTGATTATATCCTGAATTTTAAACGGTACCTCATAAAGAGATACCCCCTCATGCACGTAACATTATTCTACTTGGCATGTGCAATTTGTGTGTTCTGTTGTGTAGCATGAATGAGAAGTACTTTGATTTGGGCTAGCTGCTTTATATCATTTTGAAAGGGTAGTGCGAAAACAAAGGGAAAAGAAAAACAGCACTCTTTGTCTCTACGTCTTTCTTTTCCCTGTGTCTTTGTACTGCTTTTTCAAAATCAGTAAAGATAATAAAACATGCAAACGGTATCTCAACTTGATATTATTTTTATTTTCAATAGCCTCCAGATGCCATTCACTAATCAGCCCTCGTTTAGCGTCCGCCTCGGTGGACCAGTCGCTATAGGGTGCTCCCCTGCTGACCCGAATGCCGCCAGTTCGATGGTGGCCGCAGCGGTCACATCTAGATGGATGCGAAGAGGTAGATGCCGGTGTACTGTGCAATGTCAGTGCACAAAGAACACCAGTTGGTCAAAATTTGTGAAGACCTCCACTGCGGCGTCCCTTATATTCATATCGTGGTTTTGCATGTAAAACCACACATACTACCGCTGCTACTAATGATGGTGATCTTTGGTGCTATGTGGCGCAAGGGCCATTTGATGGCCAAACAGCCCCAGTTCATGGGACAAAAGATGTACACAATGATTGTTATTAGCGGCTGTATAAGGGCCTTAATATTCCTCACGCTAAGGGGAGTAAAAATATAGAAGTAATAAAATCATGACCGTGCTGTGAAAAGTGTGTGGTGTTAATGGATGACAAAAGTTTGTGATAATAAACACCATGGTGGACATATATGGCATTAGCACAAGTGCCTCGATGGTTCACACCTTTGCGTCCAAGGGCTATGAGGCAAGTGCTTTGTTGAGGGTAGCCACTGCAGCGGAGACCTCTCTGGAGAGGTCGTGCTACAGAGTGCCCAGGTATATGATATGAAATGTACGAACTTCTCTGAAAAAAGCCAACAACAATTTACGTGTGAAAAGTGGTTCCCTACCAATGAACATTGCAGGATGAAGTGGTATCTGTTGTCGGTAGGGTAATGGAAAGTGTTGTTTTCTTAGCGTGTCTAATTCTTTACACAGGATGAGAATGTAAAGTACGGTGAGCACTTCTCCACATCTATCACACAAACGCGGATCGCCCCCAGACAAAAGAAATGAATGTGTTGTGTGTGTATGCCCTGTTCTTAACCGTGCAAGTATTACTTCTGTGTGGCGGGATTTTGATACTGGCGGCCAATGACCAAGTTGCGGCTTGATGACATGCAATTTATTACCTGTGTGTGTGTCCCATGTACTCTGCCAATAACCCCTAAGCTTTCGTTTTAGAAAAGGTTTCCAGTAGAGTGCCGGAATGGGCATCATGGTATTGGTAGCGATTTTGTAGGCGGATCCAGATAGCGGATCCACCAGCACATTGTCTTGTATTTCACGATGTCCTGGTACCCAACAGACTACGAAATGCTGCTTGGATGAGTAGACTGTGCATAAGAGCGAATAAAGCGAGACAAGGACGGGGTTTTCGTGCTTTTTAAGAGTTTTCTGAGCTTTTACTACGCTTAGGGAATCTGTATATATTATTGCCTTCTGTGGTTTTGTTTGTTTAATATGTTTAATGGCTGCAAGTATAAGCTTCGCCGGTGAAAATTCTTGTATGAGAGTGCAGGACGCCAGCTTCCGAAAAGGATGGCCCGACGGCTGCGTATGAGACAGAAGTGTCTGTCTTTGAAGCATCCGTAAAGAACTCAGGACATAAGTATTTCTGTTGTAGTTCTAGGAAGTATGTCTGAATATGTGCAATTGGTGAGTGCTTCATAACCTCCAAGAAAGACACGTCGCAATCTATTGCCTCCCACTGCCACGGTGGCAGGCACACTGCGGGAGCCATCAAACGGTGTTCAAGTGGCACGCCGGTTTCCTTCGCCAGGCCCCTCACACGGAGTGAGTAGGGCTGTCTCATAGAAGGCCGTTTCTCAAACACAGCAAGATTGACATGTCATTAATTATAAAATGTGAAGGATGTTCCTTGTCTGCCTTCACTTTAAGGTAATATTTAAAAGACATGTAACATCTCTGTAGGTGGAGCGACCATTCGTTGGATTCCACGTATAGGCTTTCCACAGGGCTAGTGCGAAAAGCACCTGTAAAGAGGCGGATGCCCAGATGATGAATAGGGTCAAGCATTTTAAGGGCAGCAGGTGTCGCAGACTGATATGCTATAGCCCCACAGTCTATGCGGGTACATATGAGGCTTTTATATAGATTCGTTAGACACTTCCCCACGTTAGACACGTGGGGAAGTGTTGTCACTTCCCCACGTAATGCGTGACAACACTTTTAGACCGTTCATAGCTTTTATGAACTTGTTTTTTAAATACTTGATGTGTGGTATGAAGCTAAGCTTAGTGTCCAATATTAGGCCTAAGAATTTGTGTTCAGTTTTAATCGAAAGATGTTGCCCATGCAGTTGAATATTGGGTTCCTAATGAATGCCTTTCTTTCTGGAGAACAAGACACATATGCTTTTCTGTGCATTCAGTCGGAACCCGTTTTCCATATTTCTTCAAACCAAGCTGAATCTGCCGCTCTCACATAGCCAGATTACAAGATTTGAAACCAAGCTGGACGTTGTCGACATATGCAGGGCCGTACCCAGGAATTTTTTTCGGGGGGGGGGGGGGGGGGGTTGCGTGTAGAACGGTTGCCATTTTTTAAGATTTATACTGGCTTATTTTCATGAATAAAACAAGTACATCGCTTACTTGTAATAATTCGATGGTACTTTTCAATTATTTGTACCCGAATAAAGAAATTGGTATGTCAACCTCAAATTCTGGTTAAAGCAAGAAATAAGTTTGGACAATAGCACCACCGAAGCCGGGGATACCGCGACCAACGGCTCCTGATGAAGTAACACAATGTAACCGCGGTACAAAAACGGTATGTATGTGTTACAAGCTGCCACTCTAGCGTCGCCAGCGCGAAGTCGGCGACGGGAATGTCAGCAGGTTAGGTCGTTTCGTACGTAAGCAGAGACAGTGAAGATATCAGAGACGTATGTGGGGAAAAACAAAACTCTAGTGATATTGCAGCACTGCAGAGGAATCTAGGAATATTGCAGAGGAATCTAGTACAACACTTAATACCAACTAACAAAATACATATAAAATCAATAAATCAGCTTACAAGAGAGAAGTATTACAAACTACACAAAAACTAACCAACAATAAAACTACAGATGAGAAAGCCCGCAGGTATAAACAGGTGAAGGGATACCTGTGATGACCGGCAGCGTTGAGTCCACGACGATCGGATGCGAGAAGTCAGAGAGAGTTCTGGCACAACTGCGATGTCGGCGGTGTTGCAGCGCTGGTGTTTCCGGGAGGCTTGTGCTTGAAGCCGATCTCAGGCAGGTTGAGCTTACTCGAGATTCAATTACCGATGCCTACGTTACAGACGTTAATTTCGCGTCACAACTAGACGAATGGCTAAGTTTAGATGGCCAGCCGACACGGAGCCACAACCACTTAAGGAATACTTCTTGATCTCCTTCTACACCATCTTGGTCAGCAACTAGACTGCTTAGCAAGGTGAAACCCTGCTCTTAAATCGACCTCCGTGTCCCCTGATTCTCGTCCTGGGGGAAAAGAGACCTCTACATGGGTCCAATCATGCACGTTTCGTTTTTAGAAACTCCACCCTAAAAATATATTGACCACGTCCCTTTTTAATTAGGAGAGGGTCCTCAACTGAGCGAGAGTGACAACCTGTTGGGGTTTTCTCATACGGCTTGTCCACAAGCAG